GACTAGGCTCTTCAAATAGACATTATTACTACACTAACACTGGAAAAAAAAACAAACACTATATCAAAACCTGGACAGGTGGAACAAAAACAAGCTCCCTGTGATGGGAGACCTGAAGGAAAAAGCAAATCAAGAAAAAAAAAAATAACTTACTGCAGACACAGAGACTTTGCATATGCATTGAATCCAAAGAAATCCAGAGAAAGAAATGATCGCTCATGAGGTAAATATTTAAGAACATTACATTCTCAAAAATACAAGATTTTGCTGGTAACACACAACTTTCTGACCATTGAAAAGAATATAAAAATTGCATTACCGATGAGTGAAGGGGAAATTGTTTTTGATTCTACAGATTGAGTTTTCTGTGGTGGATGAATGTTAAAAACACAAAAGATAGAGAACAGAATGAGAAGAGATTTATTGTTGCCAAAGCAAACATCAAAGAACCAACAAGAAAGTGAAATTGATTCTCTTATAAGTGAACACTATGCCATCTCTAAATAAAAGTTTAATTTTGAAATTTGTTTAAGGTTACCTAGATAGTGAAGAGCACCTGAAGAAGGACAGAGGGCACATTGACTGAAATGCTGCAATAATAACAGCAAAGATGAAAACATTAGTCCGAATGTAAATAGTTAACTCCTCATCCCAGAGATTCAGATGTAAGGATCATTTCAAGCCAGTAGAAACATGCTAGATATGTTTTTGAAGGCGGGAAATTTCTAGGTGGTTTTACGAACTAACCTCTCCAATTTTCCAGCAGAAAATAGAAAGGTAATTATTACCATTAGTAAGCTCTGATTTGTTTCAATTTTTGGACAAGCAACTGCTTCCTTTCAGACAGGGATTAAAAGAGAGAAAAAAATGTTGACCTTTCAAATTTTCCTCTTTAGTTTTTCCATTGACCTTCTTCTCCCTGCTTAGATATGATTTTTCTTTTTCAATGAAATAAAATCAATATCAGTGATTAGTTTGTAACAGTTTCCTCCAAATCTGTATAGTGAGTGATTACATTGTAAATGAAAGACTTGGTATTACCATGAGGGAAGCACAAACCAATTGTACTGAGGGCAATTTCCTGCATTGTGAAACGGTGTTAGTCTTTGGCAAAATTTCAACTCTCTCAATGTTTTTGTTTGTGTTGTTTGTGAATTCATGAGACAGTGCAAAACTGACCCTCTACTTTTTTTTGCATTTACTGATTTCTAATGAGATTAGGTCTATTTCCAATCGATTATTGTTTCAAGGATTTTAAATATAATTATCAATAAATTGGTCTTATATGAATTATCATCCAAAGTTTATTTTTAGGTACTTTTTGTGCAAGTCATTGCAATAAAATGTGGCATATTATGTCCAGTCCTTCATTTTAATTTTGAAACTATGAGAATAGCCTTGTGGATTAAAATGTTGGTTCATGAAGTTGCTGACATAGTAATTGTGGTTTCAATCCCTGGGCAGTACAGACTTGGTGGAAAAGAGGTGTGTAATAACTGAATAACAAAACAAAAAAAAAAAAAAAAATGAACAGGACAAGATACCCCTAAACATGGACAGTGGAACAAGAACACTCTATCCCTATAGTTTAAATAAAGGTTTCATTTTGAAATTCTTTGAAGGTCACATGGATCAACAATCGCCTAAAAAAAAAAAAAAAAAATGGCCAGAGGGCATAATAGCTGGAAAATAACGGCAAAGATGAGGACAATAGTCCAAATATAATTAATGCAAATTATGAGAATTCTGTTGCTAAATTATCTTGTTGATAGTAGCCATGCAATTAGTTTTTTTTTTTTTTTCATTTCATGTAATGCCTGGCTGCTTATATTTGAGTATGCCATTGCAGACACCTGCTCAGGCATGTTCAACAACCATGGACCTCACTCATAGTTTATACTACAACTATACTGAACAAACTTTAGTTACAGTTTTGGGGAGAGAGTGCGTCATCTAGTATGATCAACAGTTTGAATAAGGCCAGTACACTTAAAGCCTTGATCACAATGACTTAGCATGGCCATCAATAAACAATTCTGTCTACCCATTTTCACTCACAAGTCTTGGGTCAACCTGTGGTTTGGTTTTCAGGCACTTTTCAAAGGTGCTGCATGCCAGGATCACCTCCTCAAAGCCGATAACATCAGAAAGTCACCTCCCTGACCATTGTATGATTTGAGGCCAGTGGACATTCTGATCACTTGGCCACAAGTCTCTCATGTATAAATAGAACACACACGCTAGTGAATTCTATTTCTCATTCACATGCATGCAGTGGCATTGTTTACTTAAAAGGCATAAATGTATTTTGATTATTTTCTTTATTATTTATAAGACAAAAAATATTAAAGCCCATTTTATGCCCTTTTTAAATGTTTGTCTTGATGGGAACAATTTAGATATAATAACCTATTTCTCTTTAATTTTTTTTTGTCAGAAACATTGTCACTTGGTTGAAAGACATCAATTGAAATCAACTTTTACATTTTACTTGTTAAAAATAAAGTGAAAGAAGTTATTTTTTTGTGTGAATTTAAGTAGTTTCCATAGGAAAAAAAAAACTTTTGCAAACCTATAATTAAAACCTAGATATTTATTTTTGAACCTATAATACTAGATTATTGGAAACCTATAATTATTTCCATATTATCATTTATAAAAATTATTTTATAATTAATACCACATTTTATGGCAGACATTGATAGGTTAAGATAATGGTTTGGCCATGCTGCTAGAAATGACAGCTTATTTGGTTAAGTCACTCTCTTTTTGGAAGCATTTGTTGTAAAAAAAAAAAAAAAAAACTTATCTCACTAATGTTTTTTTCCTTAGTCTTTAACTTTCATCAGATTGCCTTGAGATTTTTTTTTTTTTTTTTTTTTTTTTAATTTTATATTTTCTTTTTTTTAAATGGCATGTCCCCCTTATGGACATAGACAATTCTAACTTGCCAAGAATTATTTTTCTTTATTTTCTGTGAATTGTCATGTGTTCTTGGTGAAGATAGGGGAGTGGCTTCTCGTTGCCTTCTCCATTATTTTGAATTCAGAATTCTCCTTCTCTTAGACTGGTTGCCAGCCAAGACTATAAAGTTGAGTCTTCCCTGCTATTTAACCCATAACTGTAGGAGGGGGGGGAAGAACAGTGTCAATAATTAGCATTGGTGAGGATATGTCCTTAGGCTCTACAGTGGTGTTGATTGGTACTAAGGAAAATGAGTAAGAATTCATAGTTTGAAAATGGATGACTTTTTCTTAATGTCTTGCATTTCCTACTGAAGCTTTAACTTAAAATGACTTGTCTAGCTTAAGTTACATTGGATTAAAATAAAGGGTTCAGTTTGAAATTCTCTGAAAGTTATTCCGACTGATAAACACCTGAAGGTCAGAGGTGAAATATGATAACAAAGATTTGGAAATTAGACCGAATATAAATAATGTAATTAAGCAGCTGTAGTTATTAGCTTTATTCAGGGTCAGTACGTACTAATCCCTCCCTCCACAAAACACCTGATCGTGGGGGTGATGCTGATTGGGGTCCCTTGGCTGTGCTTTGTGACCCTTATCTTATCAAGATTTGCTTTTTTTTTTCTGCCTACATTTATATTCATTATAAATTTAATTAACCACAACTGATTATTAGAGGATGAAAAAATTTGGCATTTTTTGATGTCATTTTTTTTTTTTTTTTTTTTTCTCCAAATTTGTGAATGTTTTGCTCATGTTAGGTCTTCAAAAAACACTATATAAAATTTACTATTTTTTTTTTTTTTTTAACCCTAATGTTGAATGTGTTAAATTCAATGTTTTAACAAGAAAAAAAAAAATATTGATATTAAAAATTGCCACAAAACATTGTTGATTTATTTAAGAGGGTATGATCTATCATGACATAGAATTTTTCTAGTTGAATTGCTCACCATTATTGCATATAATCCATTGTACATAACTGGATTAGAATAACATTTTTTATTTTACATGAATACTACCTAATGAAAATTGATGTAGAGTGGGGGTGGGATGTATTATAGATTAGGTGGGCCCCCACAAGTCCCTTGCAGCAGCCTTGGTTTTATTTGTACCAGAGAGTGAACACTGTATTTTTCCTTTTAAAATATTGGTAATATGTGAAATATTACTGCAAACTAAATAACAGGCTTGTCTTAACGTACTGCAGGGGCACCTCGATATGGTGTAATGGTTAGCAACCTTGTCTTGCTAGAACAATTGATGGAGTAGTGAGTTCAATTCTCACTGTGTGTCCCATCCTTTTGGCCCTGTGCCACGTCGAAGCTACACTTAGGAAATCATCTTAACCTGCTGCAGGTTGCTAACAATATATAATTGATTTTAATATGTGGGGGCATTGAAACATTGGACTTTGTTTCTTTTTTATTTCTTTTTTTTTTTTTTTAAATAAAATTAAAAAATTACGATCAAAATAAAGAAAATGCTTAGAAATTGCACATGCTAGGTCTAATTGTAATCCTCGTGAAAGAGCAAGAGAAATTTGAGTTTGAATCCTGCACTCCATTCCAATGTTGCTGGTGCTATATTGGAGGGTGCTAGCTCTCACGAGCTGTGTGGATACTGTTTCCCATGATGCAACAGTACGTGTGTTGCTGTGCACGTGTCTCATCTGACAGTAACTACTGTGATCTCTTGTTGCAGCAGCACCACTACTTGGTGCTGGCTGCATGAGTGCAATAAACACTTTGTTTTTATTGATCTGCTCTTGTCTCCCTGGCAGAGTTGGAGAATAGTTGGGGCAGCAGAGGGGGGTGGGTGGAATGTTGTGGAAAAAAAAAATCAGATCTGGTAAGATATAAGAAAATAAAGGTCTAAACATTTACATATTCTGTTTTTTTATTTTATTTTATTTCCCAAAAAGTGTTTTTAATTTTTTTTTTTTTTTTTTTTTTTTTTCTAATTTAAAAAAAAAATTTTTTTTAAGTGTCCGTCAATGAAGGTGGGGTTCGGATAATAAGGTGATGATTAATAATGGCTCTTTCACAGAAACGTCATCCCAATATAGGTGAATGTTACTGACTTGTTGCTATTTTCTCTTGTCATCTGACTGCCTTTATTTTCTCCATTCTGCCTTCTCACTATTTCCTCTTAACAAGGAAACCTGCTTTGTGTGTGCGTGGTGGGAGATTGAGAAATCTGAGGACAAGTTTGTTGTCGTTCCTATTTGCTATCCTCAATAAAATTGAATACCTAGATACATTTGGGCCTGCAAAGTGATTTAATGGGAAAAATGTAGATGAAGCATTATTGATAATGAATTTATTAAACAGCTGTCAACTGTAAGGAAAACTGTAATAATTGAGTTGTTTTAATTTATTTGTGATAAAATGCCAATGATATGAAATGATGGAGTCTTATTGATTAAATTTAAATTATATTTTTGGTTGCACTTGGCCAAAATGACTTGCTTTTAAAAATCATCTTCCTACTTAGTTTTTGACTTTTAAGTTTTAAGGGATAATCATTCTGTAAAAATAGGACGATATTTCCTCCCCCACTTAATAGAAGTACTACTAAAGCTTATTCATTAGTAATGATGTGGGAAATATTTTGTTGGGGCCATTTTAACTTCATTTTTTTTTTCTAATATATATACTGCTTTTTTTCTGTTTCAGAATAAGATTTTATTGATTATTTTATTTATTTTTTTAAATTGTTTTTATCATTGATTTTTAAAAAATATAGAATAGATTTTCTGTATATTGAGGTGGGTGACTGAACTAGATTAAATAATTTTTTTTTCAATTTTTTCTCTTTCTTGAGAGGAAAGAGATAAAATGTGTCAGAATATATTAATTTGTACACTGTTTTTAACCATTCTTCTATTTTAAACAGTCGAAACAAAACTGGAAATAATGTCTTTGTTAGGTGTTTGTTTTTTATTTGTTTTTTTTTTTGTTAGGTGTTTGTGTGTTTTTTTTTTTTTTTTTTTTTTTTTTATTTTTGGTTTTTAATTTTGTTTTTTGTTTTATTTATTTTTTTTTATTAAGAATTTTAAAAATGTAGTTTATTTTGCTTATAATATTTATGGACATTTACCATGCTAGTATCATAAATATGAAAAATTCAGCAAGAATTGAACTCCCTTCACTGATTAACTAGCTCTGCAATGGGTTATATTTTAATGTTTAATTGTATTTCAAGTAATATAACTTCTTGGATTTCCAAAATAAAGCTTTACGACCTAAATAAAATAATTACAAGTGTTGCTTTTGGTTTTTTGAATTTTTCACATAGAGCAGTTAAGGTAAATATGATATTAAAATCAATTTGCTGATTATTAATGACCTTCACATTTTATTCTGGCCTTGTGTCACTCACTCTCTGTAAGTTTCAAATGTTTGTCAATTATCGTTGGAGAATTGGAAGTGGTTTATCATCATTTCATTAGCAGTGATATCGGGACAGAGCATCTTCTAATAGTATATTTGAAACAATATACTTATTCTATAGATATTAATTATGTGGGTGTAGTAATGATCTCTCTGAATCAATCACTCTTTCTTGCAGACACACACACACACACCTGTGTGTGTGTGTTTTGTTACTTATATGAATTCATTATAATTTTTATGCAAGATAGTTTTTTTTATAGTATTGACACATTTTATTTACATTAAAACTTTTGGTGAATTAATTGTTTGTAGTAGTCGTCCTTCATTATGTATACTGAGTAACATTTTTTTCTTTACTTTTGTTTTTCCCCCCCCTTTGTTTCTTTTGATTTTCTTTATTTTTTATTTTCTTTTTAAAGGGTTAAATAAAAAAATTATATTTTCTTTATTTAGAAATTAAAAAAAAAAATTTTTTTTTTTTAATTTTATTTATTTTTTTTTTTTTTTTTTTTTATTTAAAATTTTTTTCTACATTTTCTTCATTTTCTATCTATTTTTTTTCATTTTCATCTATTTTCTTCATTTTCATCTATTTTCTTCATTTTTTCTTCATCTATTTTTTTCTTCATTTTCTATCTATTTTCTTCATTTTCTTCATTTTCTTCATTTTCTATCTATTTTCTTCATTTTTTCTTTTCATCTATTTTCTTCATTTTCTTCATTTTCTATTTTCTTTTCATTTTCTATCTATTTTCTTCATTTTCTTCATTTTTCTATCCTTCTTTTTTCTTCTTCATTTTCTCCATCTATTTTCTTCATTTTCTATCTATTTTTTTCATTTTCTATTTTTTTCATCTATTTTCTTCATTTTCTTTTTCTTCATTTTTTTCTTCATTTTCTATCTATTTTCTTCATTTTCTATCTATTTTCTTCATTTTCTATCTATTTTCTTCATTTTCTATCTATTTTCTTCATTTTCTATCTATTTTCTTCATTTTCTATCTATTTTCTTCATTTTCTATCTATTTTCTTCATTTTCTATCTATTTTCTATTTTCTCTATTTTCATTTTCTATCTATTTTCTTCATTTTCTATCTATTTTCTTCATTTTCTATCTATTTTCTTCATTTTCTATCTATTTTCTTCATTTTCTATCTATTTTCTTTTCATTTTTTTCATTTTCTATCTATTTTCTTCATTTTCTATCTATTTTCTTCATTTTCTTCATTTTCTTTTTCTTCATTTTCTCATTTTCTATTTTCTATTTTCTTTTCTATCTATTTTTCTTCATTTTCTATTTTTTCATTTTTATCTCTTTTTTCTTCATTTTCATCTATTTTCTTCATTTTCTCTATTTTCTTTTTCTTCATTTTCTTCATTTTTTCTTTTTCTTTTCATTTTCTCTATTTCTTCATTTTCTATTTTCTTCATTTTTCTATCTATTTTCTTCATTTTCTATATCTATTTTCTTCATTTTCTATCTATTTTTCTATTCATTTTCTATCTATTTTCTTCATTTTCTATCTATTTTCTTCATTTTCTATCTATTTTCTTCATTTTCTATCTATTTTCTTCATTTTCTATCTATTTTCTTTTTTCTTCATTTTTTCATTTTCTATCTATTTTCTTCATTTTCTATCTATTTTTCTTTTTTCATCTATTTTTTCTTCATTTTCTATCTATTTTCTTCATTTTCTATCTATTTTCTTCATTTTCTATTTTCTATTTTCTTCATTTTCTATCTATTTTCTTCATTTTCTATCTATTTTCTTCATTTTCTATCTATTTTCTTTTCTGTGTTGAATATTAAAGGATTGAATAAGTTTTTGAAGAAATTTTATTAAATGTCTTTTACTGTGGTTTTAAAAACTAAGAACAAACCTATTGTCTTCATTCTCCCTGTAGAATTTTTGCTTTCTTTTGTGAGAAAACTTACCAATATTTTTTATTATTTTTTATTTTTATTTTTAAAATAATCCTCTTTGTGCTAATTCTTTAAAGGATAATGGTGTTTTGCACCAGTTTGAAAAACTTTAGTGAAAGAAATATGAGGTTAGTATATCTATGAATATCAAGAAGTAAATACAAGTTAAAGCTGCATTTTGTGATTGAATCATTTCACCCCAAGCAAGCCAATAAAGCCATTGAGATGCAAGGGGTTACTGAGTGTTAGAGAATATGAGAAAGGGATGCAAGAAGCTGGAAGAATGTTCCACAAACAAGAAATTGTTAGCATAGAACTTATGGTTACATCTAGTCAATTCAGCTGCAAATTGATGAGATCTTGCTGCTAATTTAGTACTGCGCCTAAATTCATAGTCTACTTTCTAAAGAGGAAAGTTCATCAGAACATTTACCACAAAAGTATTTATAGAAAAGGCACAGGGAAGCTACCCTATGACAGTGGGAAAGTGACTGAAGCCAAGATGCCAGGTCAGAATCAATAACATTGCAGGTACTTAGGATTTTATCAAGAATTTAAATATATAATCTAAATATATAGAAGGAGCTTCAGATCAGACATGTCAGCAATATTCAAAGCAAAGATGAATCATAAACTTATAAATATGTAAGTTAGACTCTGCTGAGAAAAATTGTCTTGCTCAACACAGTGAACCAACTTTTCTAGGAGCAGACTTAGCATTTTATTCATTATACACTTTCCACTTCATATCATGTGGTTAGTAAAATTTCCTCCAATTTCAGTGTCGTGAAAATACTTAATGATAATTATTGTATATAATTAATTTTCTGTAAATTATGAATTGTTGAGCAACAAAGAGAAAAATATTTTCAGAAAAGAAATGCCATGAATGTAAAACACAAGGAAACCAAGGTATTTAAAAAAAAAAAAAAAAAAAAAATCTGGTACGTCAGTTATAATTCTGAAATAAAAATATCATTTTTAGGATAAAAAGAGTGTTCTGTGAACCTTAAGTTTCATCCAAATAAAATTCCTTTTTGTAACTACAGCCCTTGTTGTAAAGGTTATGTATCTGTGTATGAATGTTTTCATAGAGAGAAAAAAGAGTGCAAAAGAGATAAGGTAGCCATTTGTCCCTAATCATGAGTAATAATGAGAATTTCACAACTTTGAGTTGCTGGAGTCAAAAGGAATGTACTGGCTAAACAGTAGGAGTAAAGGAATGGTAACTTGATCTCCACGTGATGTATCCACTTTGTGAGATCTACTCACTACTATTTTATTGACTTGATTTAGGGTATCAGCTAAGCTCCTCATATTAGGTATTTAAATATTTCCTCATTGGTCAAAAACTGTTTTTTTGTCATATCGCATACTAATATAGATGTGGAGGTGGTGTAGTGGTAAAGGCTCTGAACAAGAAGTCAGGGAGATGAATTTGAATTTCATCTGAGTTTCCGACATTGCTGACAAAACTAACCTGGCCGTTGGTCTCAAAGTATCTCCAATCTGTTGTTGACTGGGGCAAGAAATGGCTGGTTAACTTTAATGCCTCAAGAACAAAACTGCTCTCTTTTAGCCACCACAGAGAATCATTCTTGCCTCTCATTAGAATGTCTGATGCTCAACTCCACGACAGCACCTCTTTGTGCCTGCTTGGTCTCACACTGTCTTCTGACCTGAGATGGAACAAATACACTGAATCTATAGCGTCATCTACCGCAAGGAAAGTTGGTTCTTTGTGTCACATCAGAAAGTTTTTCTCACCCGAATCCATCCTTCAAATCTATAAATCAACCATTCGCCCTTGCATGGAATACTGCTGTCATATATGATCTGGAGTCCCCTCTGTTCATCTTAAGGTCCTTGACAAAATCCAGAAACAGATATGCAGTGTGGTTGGCCCTGATCTGGCAACTCATTTGCAGTCGCTCTCTCACAGATGTGCTGTTGCCTCCCTCTGCCTTTTCTACAAATACTTTCGCAGTAACTGTTATGACGAGCTATGTCTCGTACTTCCCGTCTGTGGAACTTCTTTTCTCATACTTGCTTCCCTGATAGCTATAATCTCCAAATATTTAAATGCATTGTCAATCGACATCTCTGGATGCCTTGATCTATCCCCCATCCTTCTTTTCATCCTTTTCTCTATCACGCCTCTATGCTATTGCTCCCACTCTCTGTAACCCCTTGTGTGCTAGTGGCATTCCCGCCTTGCTTGGAGTGAAATGCTTAAAAAAGAAAAAATTTTGAGTGCTCCTACTATACATTTAAAGATCCTTGATAAAATCCAAAGAAGAATCTGCAATGTCATTGGTTCTAACATCTTGGCTTCAGTCACACTCCCACTGCCATAATGTGACTTCCCTGTACCCTTTTTTTTATAAATAGTTTCATTGTAGATTATCTAATAAACTCTCCTCTATGGTGTTTAGACTTTATGAATTTAAGTGCAGTACCAGATTGGCGGGAAGATCTTATTTTTTTTTTTAGTTGAAATGACTAGATGTGACTGTAAGTTCTATGCCAACATTGTCTTTTCTCACTTGTGGATCTCTCTTCCAGCTTCTTGCTTTCCAGTCAAGTTTGCATTTAAATTTTTGAAGATCAATGTCGCTCATTATCTTCTTCTTAATTCTTGTTATTTTATTGTTCTTGCTTCTTAATATTTTTCTTATCTTTCACACTCAGTTAATCCTCCTGCCTCTTTGTGGCTTTGTTTCCTTGCTTGGGGTGGAAAGATTAAAAAAAAAAAAATCCTTGCAATTGTATGAATCCATCTCTTCACCCCTCCCAATTCTGGATTAAATAGCAGAGCAGATGAGGCTCTCTAACCATGGTTGGCAACCAATTCAGAAGAAGGATAACTCTGAATTGAAGACAATATATAGCCTCGTCATGTTAAAACTGAGAAGATCATGAATGGATTTGAATTTGTTAGGTGTAAGGTTTGATGCTAAATACGAATACTTTGGTTTTTAGCTCTGCTTTCTTTTCAAAGTGATAACATTGGTATTATGATAAGTAGTTATAAAGGCAAAAACAAATACTGAACAAAAAAGAAAAAAAAATTGATGCTTTTTATTCAATACACTAAAAGTTTTCTGTGTGATTATGAAATGATTATTTCCCTTCTGGATGACTAATCTTTAAGATGTTGATCTTCCCACTGAAACCTTTGGAAGTGATGATGAATTGATCCTTGGTCAAATACATTGTTGATGTTTGTGTTTTTGTTTTTGCGTGCGTTTTTCGGGCTTTTTTTTTTTTTTTGTTTTGTTTGTCTTTTTTTTTTTTTTTTTTTTTTTTTTTTTGTTTTTTTTTTTGTGTTTTGTGTTTTTTTTTTTTTTTTTTTTTTTTTTTTTTTTTTTTGTCTTTGGGTTTTTTTTTTTTTTGTCTTTGGGTTTTTTTTTTTTTTTTTTGTCTTTGGGTTTTTTTTTTTTTTTGTCTTTGGGGTTTTTTTTTTTTTTTTTTTTTTTTTTTTTTTTTGTCTTTGGGGATTTTTTTTTTTTTTTGTCTTTGGGGATTTTTTTTTTTTTTGTCTTTGTTTTTTTTTTTTTTTTTGTCTTTGGGATTTTTTTTTTTTTTTTTTTTCTTTGGGGATTTTTTTTTTTTTTTTGTCTTTGGGGATTTTTTTTTTTTTTTTTTTCTTTGGGGATTTTTTTTTTTGTCTTTGTCTTTAGATTTTTTTTTTTTTCTTTTGTCTTTTGTCTTTTTTTTTTTTTTTTTTTTGTCTTTGGATTTTTTTTTTTTTTTTTTGTCTTTGGGGATTTTTTTTTTTTTTCTTTTGTCTTTGGGGATTTTTTTTTTTTTCTTTTGTCTTTGGGGATTTTTTTTTTTTTTTTTTTTGTTTTTGGGGATTTTTTTTTTTTTTTTTTTTTGGGGTTTTTTTTTTTTTTTTTGTCTTTGGGGATTTTTTTTTTTTTTTGTCTTTGGGGATTTTTTTTTTTTTTCTTTTGTCTTTGGGGATTTTTTTTTTTTTTTCTTTTGTCTTTGGGGATTTTTTTTTTTTTTCTTTTGTTTTGTGTTTGGGTTTTTTATTGTTTTTGTGTTTTGTCTTTGGGTTTTTTATTGTTTTTGTGTTTTGTCTTTGGGTTTTTTTTTGTTTTTGTGTTTTGTCTTTGGGTTTTTTTTTGTTACTAAGATTAGTGTTTGTCTGTTGATATAGCATTAAATTCTTGTGTATTATTTGTATTAGCTGATAATATGACCAGATTCTGAATATCAAATCACTCCGACTTAAGACAAATGTAAAGTATAAGTAGTTTTATATAGTAATGTCTAAGTAATAGTAACTAAAAAAAAAAATGCATCCTGGGTAAGACAATAAACTATATCCGACAGCAAAGCCTTTGATAGGGAGATTTTGAGGAGTGTGGAACCACCCCTTAATTGCTGGTGTTCCCAGGTCCATCCTGACCCAGCTATGGGCAAATAGTTGCCCCCCCCCCCGCCAAACTGGGGTCAAAACTCTATGAAAGTGTAAAAATAGGTTTTAATACCAGAAATACTTTCTAAAAAAATTTATTTATATGTATATATATATATATATATATATATATATATATATATATGAGATAGAGATGGCATTATATAAGATTTCATATTTCCAATGTTGCAATGAATAAATTTAACTAGCTAAAATCCTATAATAATTGTGCTTATCTCTCCTTTTGTTAGTTCGCTTGATTGTTATGCTCTGCTAATAAATAATGGACTGTTCTGTTTTGATCAATGGAAATACAAGAGACTATGAAAGATACTACTTGGTTTCAGTGAGAAAATTAAAGAAGAGAAGGTAGAAGTGTTTAACAGCTGTTTCATTGAAATGGAAAAAGTTGTAAATTTAAAATCTTTTCATTTGTACCCTCTTACTTCTTAAAATAATAACCAGCGTTAATATTTATGATTCTTATTGAA